AAGGAAGGGGGGGGGGGGGGGGGGGGAGAGAGAGAGAGTTTTTGTTATTTTTAATATTTTAATAAGGACAATAGCAAAAAATATCCCTACATTTGACACTTCTTGTAGAAAAACGTCTCAACTTTTCATTTTTTTTTGCTTTTTCATCCTTATTTTCATGTTTCATTGCGAAAAACATCCCTTTCACCAATTTAAAATGTATGGATGTTTTTCACACAATAGACCAAACGGAGGGACGTTTTGTGCTATTAAATCTTTTAATAATTATTTGGACTCACTTGCACTTTTTAAAACATTTAAGAGTAAGATTGTAATTTATTATTTATTCTGTAATTTATTATTTATTTTTCTTTTCTTTATTTTTTGGATTTTATTTAAAGAGGAGGGTATTTTGATCATTTTATATTAAAAAATGGTGAAAATGATATTTTCAGCAAAAAAGGTGGAAATAAGGGCAAAAATGTCAAAAAATGAAAGGTGTAGACGTTTTACATAATAAACCTTAAAGGTAGAGGCATTTTGTGCCAATTACCCTCAATGAATCGCTCCTACTTTTTGTTGGGGGCAACGCGCTTTTGCACGTGTACGAGAAGCACGCTTCAATCATGGCCATTCATTCAAAACTGAAAGGGTTCCTTTTCATCTTCAACGGCTTGGATTACTTTACCATATTAATGTCCCAGATCTTTGTTGATTTGATCTAACACTAGGATTGATTGTCTTTGCCTATAAAAAGGTGGGCTTAGCCATTTGATCAACTTCTTTTACTATGCAAACATCAGATAATTTCAAATCTTCAAAACCCTCAAGTGATTTTCGGCAATCATAATTATTTTTCGACGAGTTCATCTGTTAATTCCATTGAAGCATCTCCATAAGTTGCATTTTGAGCAATATTCACTTGATTTGTAGTTCATTCTTCATCTTTTTTCCATTCATTCTTCGATCATTGTATCAAACCACATAAATGGCAACTAAGTCTAGCGAAAAATCAATTGTTTATGGTCTTTTGGTAAGGCAAATATGAGAATGATCTGTGTCAGGGGCGGACTCAGACAGTTCGAACTGTGGGTTCAAAATTGAAATTTTTTCGAACAAATCCAAACCCTACATTAACATGCCTTTTTCAAATTTTCACAATAGCAAGGGCTAGCCGGCCAAGGGTTGAGCCTCGACCTGAGGGACGGACGTCGGTGCAAGGCTGTGGCGAAGTCACGAACAAAAAGGAGAAATTGGTGATTTACTATTCGTGTTCGGTGTTTGCACTTTGGGAAGAAATCGGTGGATTATATCTATGGACTATGGATATGGACCTTATGATATGGTCCATATGGATATAGATTTAGGATTTGAGTTTTTTGGGTATTGGGCTAGGGAAATTCCTTAGGTTGGCTCACTTGGCTGTTGGCAGCAGACTTGGCAAAAAATTACATTTTCAGTAGAGGAAAAAAATTCCAAAAAACTGTGAGGTGATTTGACCTCACATGACCCCATGTGGGTCCGTCCCTGATCTGTGTAGAGGCGATCTTGCTAGATGTGATTCCTGCTGAAAGAATAAGCGGGGCAATGAGCGAGGGTATATAGTGTCGCACACAAAATGGCCCATATTTTAGCAATAAATAGGTGAGTGTCATGTCACCTCTAGAATGACCGAGTATAAATTGCTAGAGTTTGGGGAAAATTTTACTCCCTGATACCAAAGAGTTTTTAGTATCCCAACCTGATAAGATAGCTTGCTCTCCTATGCATGGATATGTTGCGGTCAGTGAGGCCATCTTCTTTGTGGCATGTTACTGTCTCTACATCCCTTCTTTGGGTCTCTGTTAAGGTATTATAACTTAGCACCCTCATAGTTTGTTCCCAATGCATGGAGCAAACTGGCCAAAGGCATCCTTCTTTGGAAAGATCTCTCTCTTGGTGAGAATATGTCTATTCACATCTTTCAAACCCATTTTCAAATTAGGACTTTAGGCGGGGACAAGGGTTTCATGCGGTGGTATTGTATGAAACCTGGGAGTCGCACGAGCCTCTTTATTACATGCATTCCGACCTCCATACAGGATGGAAGTCATCCTGGTTTTGGACCAAAGAAAGGTGGTAGACAGTGAAGGGTGATGTGGTCCCAGAGTTTACTCTATCGACCCAATATCATGAATACGTTTAGTTATCATCTGAAGCTTCTGAAATTTGCAATATATACTACAAGTTTTTCTTATTTGTTCTTTTTTGCAGTTATACTTAACAGGCTTAAGTTGAACAACATTGAGAGGGCCATCATCAGGGGTATTTATAAATCCACCTGAAGATTGTTCTTTCAAACGCGTTGCTTGTTTCCAATTGTTCTCTATTTGTTAAGTGCAATTTGTTGCTTCAAAAGGGTAAGAACTCCATAACTTGTTTTGTCTTTCAATATATTTTTACCCGAAAAACTAAATACTGACACCTTTGTCTTTTGTAGATGACCATGTTCTAAAAGAATACCCGAGGACTAATATGTTCTTTATGAAGAAAGTCGCAGAGAAGGGTCGGGTCCTAAATATGTCCACCTCTATGTATAAGCATTAAAGAGACGAGTTGGCTCAGATAAGCCATCAGCGTCTGCCTCGGGTAAGGGCAAAGAGAAGATGGAGCCTCAGCGAGAAAGATAAAAGAAAAGAAAAACCATTGAAACTTTCGTGTCATTCGTACACTCATAAGATGACCTTTCTAGAGAATAATAGTTTCGATACCCATAACCTCTATTCTAGCTGAGAGAGATGAGGTGAAAGTTGCATATGAGGCTCTCCGAAAGAAGAAAGGGGTCGCCCAACGAGGCCGAAAGATGATAAAGCCCCAAAATTATTGGAAGGTCATAAAGATAAGCTCGACTCAACATCATTCTCCCTATTTTCCTTTGCGAACGGTGTCAATCTGTTGACCTTAATTTCTAGCCAGTGACGGTCAACAAATCATAACTCCACTCTCATTCAAGCATAAGGCTCGTGTATTTTGAGACAAATCGTTAGAAGCAAGTGGTCTTCTTATACATTGGATGTAGAGATAAGGAACACTCTGACGATTAAATCAATCAACTTATAAATATTTGGGTATGGGTTGAATGAAGTACGTGAGCCATAAGTTGTATACGGGCACCGTGAAAGAGAAAATAATAGTGAACAATAATGCCATTGAGGATGTAAAATTGCATTATCTTCAAATAACATTAAGTGTGAGTTTTTATAAAAGAAGAGTCGAAGTGGTTATCGCTATATGAAAGACACGTGGCTTCATCTTCACCACCTAGGCCTCTCATTCTAGACTTTTGCTTATGCAATCCTAAGTTCGAGGATATTAAGCTCCTGTTTGATACAAATTAAAATTGAGATTTTAATTTAAATCAAAATCAACAATTAATTTTAACCATATATTTTATAGGACCCACAACTTTTCAACGACACATTTAATCAACTTTTATCAAAATTTATTAAAAATATGATTTTAATCTCTACCAAACAGAGACTAAATGATTCTGAAAAATAGTCACCCTATAATCGAGATCGGACATCTAAAAAATGAAATGACAAGTTAACTGACATCAATCAATCGTAGAGGATCTTATACGGAAGATCTCTTGGTACAGTAAAGGAAGATGATGCCTTCATGTTTGAAGACTGCTCAATTTGGATTAGCACTGCAGCTGGTCATTGACAACTCGCCTCTATCATGAAAGGTTGGACCTTTACATGGCCCTTCGACAAAGGTGATGCATCACTTTGACTACCATATTTTATGGCCTCGACTAGTTTAGGTACGATAGTGACAAAGAATGCTAGTATGAGTTAGTGTTTGTTTGGTAGGGATTTTGTTAATTAATTTTTTGATCGTTAGAGATAAAGTGGATCATACTTGTCAGGGGCGGACCCAGAGACTTCGAACTGTGGGGTCAAAAATGAAATTTTTTTCGAACAACATATCATTAATAAAAATAAATTCATATGCTACTACAATTGTAGCCTACGCGTTTTCATACTTTGAAAACGTCGTATAATTACATCGTTATCAATATTGTCAAGTACATCGCTTTCAATATATGCAACCAAACTATCACTTAACCATTGATCTCCCATTCGATTACGTAGTCGATTCTTGACAATCTTCATTGCAGAAAATATTCTTTCTACCGTAGCAGTTGCAACTGGAAGAATTAACGCCAATGTTACAAGCCTGTAAACTAATGGGTACACCTCATGTTTTTTCGTCACAACCAAGGTTTCTGCAAGATCATTAAGGCCTTGTAACCCTTCAAAATCTTTGTGAGAGCGCATATCAATAATATACGTCTGAATTTGCTCTTCAAATGCCAAGATCTCTATTGGTTTAAAATCTTTGGGATAATACTCACACAATTGAATTAACTTATCCTTGTTGAAAGCAGAGAATGAATTATCCGGACACAAGCATGCAACACAAAGGAGTAAGTCACTATTTACCTCAGAGAAACGATCATTCAACTCTTGAATTTGCATATCAATGATAGCATAGAAGAAATCCACACGAAAATGATGAAGATTTGTAATTTCTTGAGTGTTACGCCGTGAACGGCCTAGAGGTATAAACATATCGTCCATATTGGGAACATCAATATTGTATCTTTCGCAGAAGCAGGAAACTGTTCTTAAAAATGATTCCCATTCATTGTCCCTCATTGCTTGAAGTCGTTCTTTACTTATTTTCACTAATTTCATAGCGTTGACAATATCTTGATCTCTTCTTTGTAATGATTTTGACAATTCATCTGAAATACCCAATACCTTTTTCATGAGATGCAAACTGAATACAAAATCAGATGTCAACATAAATCCCAACAAAATACGTGCTTCCCCTCGCTTTCCACAACTAGTATCATCAGTGGTAATCATCTCAACGACATCAACTGTAGCAGAAAACATGATAATCAAGTTAAGTAAAGAATTATAGTGAGAGCCCCAACGAGTATCACCAGGTCGCTTGAGAGTAGTTTCTTGATTAAGGCCCTTTCTACTTGAGATTTCACCAAGATTTAATGATTCAACAACTTCAAGCCTCTTCTTCTCTCGAAGAAGATCACACCGCTTAGCC